CGCACAGGACAGACACCACAGTCTTCGTTGTTGGGGTGACTTGGTTCGGTCCACCGATTAGCATATTCCATCACTCCTTACCAATTCTTTTCAAACTGCATTTTTTTTTTTGGGGGGGGACTCTAGATTTCATAGAGGGCTGAACAAAATTCATATCTGACAAAGAGAATACACTAAAAAGAGTTAGAGAGGTTGATCCCACAGCATGATACCATAATTAAAAGCCAAAGAAGAATTAGTATTAATTTGTGAGAAATCTTCACATCTCATGGGAGGAGAGTGGGTATTACAAATGTGCCATTTTGCTTGTTATGTTTAATTAAGTGAATACGAAGAACATTTACTACTTTGTAAAACATGTCACAATGCAAGAGAAGAAAAAACAGCATTTAGACAGTTTTTTTAACGGACCAGTATATTGAGCTTGAAGATCAGAAAGCAGAACCAGGCTGGGGATGCCTTTCTAGCTGCAGCACTATAGAGGGTGATGAATAATGGGGGGGAAAGGGGCAAAGGGTAGGAGGGCATGGAGAGAGGATGGGTGAATAGGTTTATGCAAGCTAATTTGTATGCCTCAGAATCCACAGATTGGAGCATTCCACTGGCGGAGGATGGGTAATTTTTCAGAGTCTAAGGTATTTGATAACACCACCTAGTTAGAAGGAGTGAGTAGATTATGAGTAAAGTAGAATAACAAGCCTACACTTTTTTTAAAAGGAATTATTTAATTTTGTTTTTTAGAGAGATTTTTGCTATTGGGCTCATGTACTCGCCAGAGAGACAGAGAGAAACAGAGAGACGGAAAGCGAGAAATCACCCCCTAGGGTGGATGGCCACACTACAATCCCTTCTCCTCCATTCTCCTCTCGAGATTTGGGCACACATTTAAAAAAAATATTTATTTCATTTATTCATTTACTTTAACTTGGCCTGAGAGGAACAGAGTGTGTGTGTGTGTGTGTGTGTGAGAGAGAGAGAGAGAAAGAGAGAGAAAGAAAGAGAGAGAGAGAGAGAGAGAAAGTGGGAAAGCAAGCTGTCAGGTCCAGGACTCTAACCATGGTCTGCCACATGGGAGTCCAGTGCCCTTAACTACAATGCCACCTGCCAGTCCCTTGGGCACACTTTACCTACTATGCCTTTGTAACCAGATTGTTTTTTTCTTAATTTTTTGTTATATTTCCAACAAGGACAAAGTACTACACATTTTTTAAGAATTACAAATTTTATTTATTGTTATTATTTTAATTTTCCGTAGGGCACGTGCACTCACTAGAGAGAGAGGAAGAATGGAAAAGTGAGAAAGCTAGCCATAATCGGCCATGAGGGAGTCCAGTGCTTTAACCACCACACCACCTGCTGGCTCCATAAGGCTACACTTTTATGTACACAGTAGCTCCGTACAGGGAAACTCTGAAAGAGAATTAAGATACCATTTAGGACTAACAGGTGGCATGATAGTTAAGGTGTTGAACTCCCACATGGCCAAAGTTCATGTGTCAGATCTGGCAGCTTGAAAATCATGAGGACAGGGGCTAGCAGATGGCTTAGGAGTTATGTCGCTGAACTCCCATATGGCCGAACGTACTATGTGTTCTCGACCTGTGGCTTGAAACTCATGCTGGGCAAGTGTGCCTAAGTGTGTACCCGAGATCCCAGGAGAAGAATGAAGAAGAGATTGTGGCATGGCCATTTCCTTTTGGGGGTGATATCTTACTTTTCTTGTCTATCTCTATGTTTCGGGAGAGCGCATGTGCCCTAAAAGCAAAAACTTCTACAAAAAAAAAAAAAAAAAAAGAGAGAGAGAGAGAGCAGCAGATGGCGTAGTGGTTATGTCACTAGACTACTACATGGCCAACCCTAATTTGAGGCCCAGACTATGTGGTGTGAAATTCATGCCAGGTGCAGGTGTGTGCATGACCAAGAGCTTGGGAGAAAGGAGAAGGAATTGCAGCATGGCCATCCCTGTGAGGGGTGATTTCTCACTTTCCCTCATTGAGTCTGTCTCCTCTCTCAAATCCTTCCCCCTCCACCACCTCCCCCGCAAGTGCATGTGCCCTAATTAAAAAACCTCTAAAATAAATAAATAAACAAAATAAAAAAGAAAAGAAAAAAAGAAAAAAAAAAAGTGTGGGTGTGGGTGTGGGTGTGTGTGCATGCCTGCCCAAAACCCTAGGAGAATAATGGAGAAAGGATTGTGGTGTGGCCATTTTTTCTGGGGGAATGATTTCTCATTTTCCCTCTCATTGTCTTTCTGTCTCTCCAGATCACAAGTGCCCTATGGCAAAAATCTTAAACAATAAAAAAAGATACCATTTAAACTTTTTTAAAGTGAGAAGTGGCTGACTATTGATGGACTGTATTTTCTTGCAGAACTTTTTCTTTAGGAGAAAAATTCCAGGATTTTAAACATTGTTGATATATCTCACTCTAGAAAGATCGCCAATCTTTCACACATGCATGCACACGAGCCCACGCGTGTGGACATGTGAGACAGGAGTTAGACACCATTCACAGGTAGACAGGGCAGCTGGCTCTCACCCAGGAAAGTCACTGTGCTGTGGGGCTCCTGACAGGTTCTTTCTTCTCTGAGTTCCCATATTCCTTTGCCCTTGGACATGCAGATCTGGTTAAGGAATTCATGGCCTTTTACAATAGGACACTATCAGTCCAGTCAACTCACTCCTTGGCCCTTAGACATGTAAATCTTACAACCACAGTTCAAATTCTGAACCTGGTGGCTTGCTTTCTCACTTTCCCTTTCGCTCTCACTCTCTTTGTGTATTTCTCTCCGGTCAAATTAAAATAAATGAATGAATAAATTAAAAATTAAGTAAATTATTAAAAAAAAAAAAGAGTTTTTGACCCAAAGCTTCTAGACAAAGAATCTCCTGACCTTTGTACTCACTCCAAAATTTGGAGAATAACTGGATCCATTCAGTATTTGCTCCTCCCCACCAAGAGGGGAATGCGAACACAAATCCCACCTGAACACAAGCCAGAACAAGGCCCTTCTGAACCAGATAAAAACCTCTTGTCCCAGTTCTTCCTTGGCTACCCATTTTCTAGGACCCCTTCTTCGTGGAAGCTCTGTTTTTCCTCTCCTTCAATAAACTCTCTGCTTTGCTATACTCTGTGTGTCCACGTCTCTAAATCTTTCTGAGTGCGCAACAAGAATCCATGTTTCACTGTGGGTGTTGGATCCAATCACCCCTGCGCCCCTGCTTCAATGGGAGAAGAAACTGGTTCTTTTCTTTTTTTTCTTTTTTTCTGGAGAGGTGTTCATTATAGGGCGCCTGCGCTTGCCAGAAAGACAGAAAGAGACAAAGAGACAGAGAGCAAGAAATCACCCCCCAGGGGAGATGGCCACATCGCAATCCCTTCTCCTCCATTCTCCCCTTGGGATCTTGGGCACGCATGCACACATGCCCAGTGTAAGTTTAAGCCACCGGGTTAAGGACTTGAACCATGGTCGACTAAATGGGAGTACAGCAACATCGCCATTATGCAAACTGCTGGTCCCAGGAACTGGCTCTTGAAATTCAGGATCCAGGGCCAAGAGAAGTTAGTTCAAAAACACACATCCCTTCTCCACTAAAAGCAAAGCACTAGCAATAGTTTTTAGGCTGGAAGGAGGGAATTGGAATAGGAAGTTGTAGGCGGGATGGTAAAGTTGCGTAGTCTATTAATGAGTTCACTATAGTCACCGTTAAGCAGCTGCTGAGAACGCCTTGAGCTTCAGAGAGAGAGGTAAGGGGAAGTGGCAGAGGAAAGAGAGGAATGTAACAGGAAAAAAAGATCATTGCACCTGTACCATAATTTATTTCTTAGCATTGTACAAATTAGGCATTTATAATTGTTTGGCCCTCAAAGCATTTTACCAAAATATGAAACTTTAATTTCCTCTAATCACAGTTAAATTGTGCCCCAATTTAAAAAGCATCTGATAAAAGTGTTCAGTGTTATTCTTTCGTAAGTTAAGCATTCGCAGTACTGAGTTCATGTATATGCACGTGTACATAATAATCTGCATATTAGCCATTTATTGAGTATTTATGATGAGATTTTTACATTTAATTTCATTTACTAATTCCCCAAATCTATAAGTATTACCCACATTTTTGCTGATTAAGAAACTAGTGCTTAGAGCTTAAGGTATGAATTACATCATGAAAGTGGGATTAGAAGTGAATCTGTCTGGTTCCTGAAATCCTCAGTTTGATCCATTAATATCATAGTGTCTCCAAATTTTAACGTTTTAAGTTTTCTAGACTTTGATTTCTCCAAAGCTTAGTAAAGAGTTAGCAGTGCTCAACAGGGTTCATAATCAAGGACTAACTCCTTGAGTACCTCTGAGTTTGTTTTTAATTTGGTTAGTTTATGTGCTATCATAGGTCTAGTTAGAACACTGTATAAGACCTTTATCTCGGTCTGTTTTGTGTTGTTGTAACAATACCACAGACTGGGTAATTTATATCCGTATCCCCTAGTGAAAGCACTCACGTTATGTGCATGTATATGAGAGGATAGAGGGGGTCAAAATTATCTTTTCACCAGGAACCCACTCACTTGATAACTAACACAATCCACTTCCTAGATAACAGCATTAATCCATTAAAGAGGGTAGAGCCCTCATTACCTAATTGCCTCTTAAAGATTCCAGCTCTAAACATTATTGCATTGGGGATTAAGTTTCCAACACATGAACTTTGGAAGACACATTCGAACCACAGCAACTTTATTTAGTTTTACTCATTATATTTCTTTACTAACCAAATATTTGATTTTGGGTAAGTCATTTAAATTTGAGCCTTCATAATTTAGTGGAGCCAATAAAAACCAAAAAACATCTAGATTATGGATGGCCCTACGGCCTGGTAGTTAGGGGAACCGGAGTCCATATGGTTGACTGTGAAGTTCAAGTTGCTGGCCCAGTAGCTTGAGAAACACACTGGTCACCTGTGCTTGTGTGCCCCAAATCTCAAAAGCAAACAGAAATGGAAAAGGAACTGCAGTATCACTATATCCCATGGAGGATGCTTTCTCCTCCATCTCTTTTGGTCCAGAGTAAGTGTCCTCTAATAAAACAAAACAAAACATTTTTAAAAACATACAATAACAACAACAAAATTCTGGGTTAAAATTCTGCTTCTGTCCTTTTTTGGGCCTTCATCCTAAGCAATAAATTAAGATCTCTGAATCATACTTGCCTCTTCTTGTAAAGAACACTGTCTGGGTATCAACCCAAAGGATAGGATTATATTCAGAAAGGTGTTATTCACAATTGGTAAGACATGGAACCAACCCAAATGTCCATGAACAGATGAATAGATGAAGTGTAGCAAATATACACTATGGACTCAGTCATAAAAAATAAGACCCTGGCATTTGGTAGAAAGTAGATGAATACAGGGACCAGCAGGTGGCATAGCGGTTAAGGTGCTGGACACTCCCACATGGCTGACCATGGTTTGAGTCCTGGACCTGGTGGCTTGCTTTCTCTCCTTCTTTTTCTCTCTTTCTGGTAAAATTAAAATAAATAAATGAATAAATAAAATTAAAAAAATAATTTAAAAAAGGGACTAAAATTTAAAAAAAGAAAGTGGATAAATATGAAAGATATTTTGCTAAGCAAATCAGACCTGGAGAGACTATGAGAGACATTGTATGTCTCACTTAATATATACCAAATGTCCATACTCTGGCAGAAACTGAAAGATTGGAAGATATAAAAGCATGGAGAACAATTGCAGATACTAGAGACAGTGTGCAAGGAGGGTGGGTGATGAGAGTGAGAAGAAAGGAGTCAAGGGGAAAAGAAAGAAGCAAAACATTTAAGGGACATGAAAATTGAAAACTATCTGTTGATGTGTATAATATCTTTAACTGGACTAATGCAGTGTATTCATGCTGGGAAAATTCATTTTACAAGTTATAATGATATATAGTGATTGAATGTGTAAAATAAAATCAAACTGTCTTAGCTTGGACTGCTGTAACATATCACCATAACCTGGGTAGCTTAAACAACAGAAATTTATTTCTCACAATTCTGGAGGATAGAAGTCTGAGATCAGGGCACCAGCACAGCTGGTCTGGTGAGGGCACTCTTCTGCCTTCTTTTTAGAGAGATTTTTGCTAGAGGACATGTACACTCACCAAACAGACAGAAAATGAGAAATAACCACACCCCCCACCCCGGAGATGGCCAAGTTGGAATCCCTTCATCTTTGTTCTCTTAGAAGTTTAGGCATGCATGCACATGCACCCAGCATGAATTTAAAGCCACCAGATCCAGGACTTGAACAGTTGACTACGTAGGAGTCCAGCAACATAACCATTATGCCATCTGCTGGTCCCTCTTCTGCCTTCTGGCTCTGTCTTTACATGGGGGACAGGGAGACTAAACACTTAGTTCTTTCATAAGGACATTAATCCCATCATGACATCATGGCGGTTCTACTCTCATAACTTCATCTAAACGTAATCGCCTGCTAAAGGCCCCACCTCGTAACACCATGACATTGGGGGTTAGGGCTTCACCTTATGAATGGGGAGGAGGTAAAACACCCAATCTGTAATACCAATAGATACCAATACCCACTTATAGGGTTACTATGAGGCTTAAAGCAAGGTAATACGGGAACGCACAGCAGGGTCTAGCTTGTCCCTATTCCAGTGATTCAACAGTGACAGAGCACCTACTTGGAGCCATATTCTGCATGTACCACATGCTTGCACTATTTGGGAACCAGTCAAAATATCTATCCTTTTGGAAGTGTTACACTAGAGGGTGAAACACAGATTACTGCACGTATGCATGCATATACAAACCGTGGTGATATGAAGTACCTGAGAGATTTAATTGAGGAACCAGGAAAACCTTTGAAGGATGTCTTTGAGATGTGATCTGAATAATGAATCTTGGTCAACCTGAGGAAGAGAACAATTCCAGGTATCAAAGTGAATCTTTCTGCAAAAGCCTTGAGGCAACCAGGTATAGGAGCTCTCACTGACTTGAAGGAAATCTCTGTGAGATAGGATGGCTAAGTAATGTTTTGAGGAGAGGCTGCTGTATGTTAGCTAGTCAACAAGCAGCAAAGACCTATAAGGAGTTATAAGAAAGGAGTGTCAAGATGAGTTCTGTGGGGCTGGCAAGTGGCGTGGTGATTAAGGCGCTGGACTACCACATGGTTGACAGTACTTTGAGTCCTGGGTCTGGTGCTTAGCTTTCTCACTTTTCCTTTCTCTCTCCCTCTGGTCAAATTAAAAAATCATAATAACAAATAAAATTAAACAAGTAATTCTTTTTTTTTTTTTTTTTTAAAGATGAGTTTTATGTTTGGGAAGGTCTTTTTTAGAAAAATGATTTATTTTAGGGACCAGCAGAGGGAGTAACAGTTATGTTGCTGGACTCTCACGTAGTTGACCATGGTTGCAGTCCTGCCCCAGCAGCTTAAAACTCACGCCAGGCATGTGTGCGTGCATGCCCAAAATCCTGAAGAAAATGGGGGAGGTGGATTGCGGTGTGGACATCCACCCTAAGGGGTGATTTCTTGCTTTCTGTCTCTCTTTGTCTTCCGGGAGAGCACACTCGCCCTAGCAAAAATTTCCCTTAAAAAATTATTTATTTTAGGGGCCAGCAGGTAGGGTGGTTAAGGGTGGTTGGATTACTATATGGCTGACCGTGGTCTGAGTTCCAGACCTGGGGGCTTGTGTTCCCTCTCTCTCTCTCTCTCACTCACTCTGTCCCTCTCTGGTCAAATTAAGACAAATAAACTTAAACTTAAAAATTCCTTAAAAAATAAATTATCTTATTTATTTTTATCATTATGTTTTTTTAGGGCACGTGTGCTCACCAGAGAGAGAGAGAAAGTGAGAACACAAGCCACTAGGTCCAGGACTCAAACCATGGTAGTCCTTGTGGGAATTCAGCCCTTCTGGAAATGTCTTAAACTGCTATGCTCCCAAGGCAAGGAGGTGACTCTTGTGGACACTAGGCATACCAGCTAGAAGGAGCAACCAGGATCTATAAGTGGAAATAGGTACGAGATGTTAGGGGGAAATCGCAAAGATGTGGCAATGATGGGGGTGGAGGGGCTAGTAAGGGGCGTCCTTAAGTAGTATCCATAAAACAAGGGGACCAATGAAAGATCTTATACAGGAAAGTAGAAACACTTGAGCACAAAAGTCTTTTGAAACTTTATGCTAGCAGTATTTCAAAAGTAAATGGAAACTTGGGAACCAGCAGTTAGCGTAATGGCTATGTCGCTGGATTCCCACGTAGTAGACCACGGTTCGAGTCCCGGACTCGGTGGTTTAGAACTCACGCCTGGCGCGTGTGCGTACGTGCCCAAGATCCCAAGAGGAGAATGGAGAAGGGACTGCGGTGTGACCATCCCTCCTGGAGGGTGATTTCTCGCTTTCTGTCTCTATGTCTCTCTCTGTCTGTCTGGCGAGCGCACGCGCCCTATAGCAAAAACTCTCCAAAAAAAAAAAAAAAAAAGTAAATGGAAACTTTAAAAGCATGTTTCTGAGCCGATATTTGAAACTATCAATAGTTAAAAGATGGAAACCGTTCTGATTTTTACTCAGTTCTTATTCCCCACAGCTGGGAGTGGGGATGAAAAGAAAGTTAGTAGTACCTTTAATGAGATGGGCAAAACTTTCCCAGGCCCGACAACAGTTAAACTACGCTGTTTATAACGACTGAAATTCCTGGCTTTGCCACTTTTCCTTCCAGAAAGTCTCTTCTCAGCTTTAGTTCAGGTTCTTGCACCCTAGGCGGCCAACCTCCAGAGTCGCTCCCTTTCCCGCCAGCGACCGAAGCGCTATGGCAACCGCCCCAGCTCCGCGACGGCAAAACTTTCCCAGGCCCGACAACAGTTAAACTACGCTGTTTATAACGACTGAAATTCCTGGCTTTGCCACTTTTCCTTCCAGAAAGTCTCTTCTCAGCTTTAGTTCAGGTTCTTGCACCCTAGGCGGCCAACCTCCAGAGTCGCTCCCTTTCCCGCCAGCGACCGAAGCGCTATGGCAACCGCCCCAGCTCCGCGACGTGCCCCTGCGGCCCCGCCCCCATATGCCCTTGAGGCCCCGCCCCGAGCCGGCGAGCCACGCCCCTCTGCCCCGCGCGCTGCGATTTTGAGCGCGTTTTGACCGTCCCGCCCCCTGGGCGTCCTGCCGGCCCAGACGCGGGAGTCACCTGGCTGGGGTCGGTTCGCTGGCGGGGGGGAGCTCTGTCGGTGGCGCCGAGCCCCTGGCCTTTCGCTGTCCGAGGAGCCTTTCCCTCAAAGGCGGGACGATGCCGGCGAACCGGCAACCAAGGGTCCGCTCCGGGAACGAGCCTGGTCCGGCGCCCGCCATGGAGCCGGTGGGTCACGGGGCCTGGGCCCACAGCCGCGCCGCCCTCGACCGCCTGGAGAGTTTGCTGCGGTGCTCGCGCTGGTAAAGATGGAGTCTCGAGGGGGTTACCCGAGGGCAGCGGCTTGGGACTGGGGCGCCCCAATCGCGGGGTCGGGGAGTGTTTTTAAACTTCGCGCCTCTTCCATCTAGTCCCTCCCGCCCTGGGCTGGCGTGCAGTTAGTGTCTGTCCCGGGATTGGGGGTAGTTATTCCCTCCTGGCCCTCATCCATGTCTTCCTGAGCAGCTTTCTAGCCTCTTTTTTTTTTTTTTTTCTTTTTTGCACCGGCCTCAACTAAAACGGTAGTTTTTTAAACTTAGGCGGGCTGAGAACCGCCTGGAGGTGTGGCTCAAAATACGGGTTTCTGGCCCCGCCTCCAGGGCTTACACTGGCGGGGTCGGGGAGGGCTCTGGCTTCTGCACCTTGTCCTAGAGTTGGGGGTGATCCCGGAACGTAACGCGGGACGCTGTAGGGCCGCCCCATTGGCCCTCTAAGTTTGAAGCAGCTGTCACTCTTTGGCGAGCCGCTGTTTTCGATATTTTCTGGGTAGCAGCTTTTCGGGGTGAGGTGGGGTGGAGTGCTCGAGACTCTTGTTGGGGATATGTTCAAAGTAACTGTGACGGTCATTGTCATTTTATTATTTAGTTTTGGTCAAAAGACTATGGCCTGAGATTCCAGTTCTTGGAAACACGCTGTTCATTGTCATTTTTGATCATTTTCCTGTGTTCTGTTACACCATGGGTTATCTCAGGGTTTTCATTTTATCCAAAAACACTATTTACGTGAGTGCCACACCTTCCTTTCCTGTTGGTCTTGGCACTGCAGAAGCCAAGAAAGTTTATACAACCCGAGAAGGGCTTGTCTCACTTTTCATTTATTTTGAAAGCATAAGGGAGCACCTTCTGAGTGCATAGCTCAGTATTTTTGCATCGAGCTCACTCTGGGGCATTCTTTCTGCTTGTAGCTCACTATATTTATTTTTTTGGACTTCGTTTTGATCATTTCACCCTCTGATTTCCTACCCGTAGAGCTTTGCTTTTTAAGAGAGATTTTTTTGCTATAGGGCACCTGTGTTCACTGGGCGACAGAGACAGAAAGCGAGACATCACACCTCCCCCCTGCAGCCTGGCCCCGCCGCAACCCCTTCTCCTTTCTTCTGTAAGGATCTCTGCCTTTGGAGGCACACCATCAGGTGTGAGTTTTAAGCCCCCTGGTCTGGGACTTCAACTACAATCAACTACATGGGAGTCCAGGAACTAACCAGTATGCCATTTGTTGGTCCTCAACTTCGTTTTTTTCTTTGGAAATGGAAAGGACTAAACCATCACAGAGTTTTGCACTTATATTTTGTTTAACAAAAACTATCTCTGATAGCGTGGCATCATCACACTCTTGAAATGTGCCACTGTTGCTCAAATTTGGTATATGAAGATATTTTGAAGGTGTGTGTATGTGTTTTCTTGTAGCACATGGGTGATCCAGTTTAGAATGAGAAGTTTAAAACTGACGGTGCTGGTTGCAGTAACAAAAGAGATTATTAGTTCCCACCTTACTAGGTCAATAAAAGGCCATTCAGACAGCACATGTATGGAAGCACAGTGCGTCACTTAAAACTGTAGGGTCAGATTGTGTCAGTTCAGGTTCCAGCTTTGACATGGTTAAGGGGTCAAACTGATTCAACTACCCTCTGCCTCAGTGTCCCCATCCGGTTAATAATAATGACTAACTCCTATTCCTGCCTGGTTTCATGGGTAATAATAAAATTATTAAGCACCTAAAAAGTGCCAGACACTGCTCTGGATATTGAGGACTCCAGTGAACAAAGGCAAAATCCCAGCCCTTAAGGAGCCTAAGTTCTACTGGAAGGAAGGAAGGAATGAAATGAATTATGCACATAAAGTTGTGTGTGTGAGGTTGATGTAGAATAAATGATGACTACGTGTCCTAAAAATATAAAGGATGTAGTCTCTGCTGATGATTTGGGAGAGCCAAATAGATTGTGCTGAAATTTATGAATAATAAAGCCAGTTTTACTTTTACTTCCAAGTATTTTTCCAATTTGTAGCTGAAGTGAGTAGATAGAGCCAAAGGACTGAAGGTAGACATCAGCGACTAGGCCCAGACTTTTAAAATTATTTAATTTTTAAATTTATTATTATTATTTTTTTAAATTTGCTATGGGATATGTGAACTGACCAGAGACAGACAGACAGAGAGAGAGGAAAGTGAGAAAGCAAGCCACCAGGTCTGGGACTTGAACTGTGGTCAGCCATGTGGGAGTCCCATGCCTGAATTATACCATGCCACCTGCTGGCCTTAGGCCCAGACTTTTGATATAGTTCTTCCAGTTGGCTGGAGGATGATATTGAATGCTAGGGATTTTTTTTTTTTAATTAGTCTATGAACCACTGATGGATAAACTAAATCTTAACTGTTTATTGGAATACTTATTTTCACATGGGTCTCCGCAAATTTTTTTCTGTAAAGGGTCAGACAGTATATATTTTAGATTTGACTGGCCACAGTTTCTGTGCTTTTTTTCCTTTAATCTCTTAAACATGCAAAAAAAAAGCCTTTTTTTGGTTTGTTTTTGTAGCTAAATGCTGTCTTGATTTGTCCATAGCAAATAGTTTGCCAGACTGTTTTAACAACTTAAATGTCGTAAGTTCAAAAATGCTTTCTGGTATAAAATTTTTAGTCACATGGGGTTTAATATGTAATGATGACTTTGCCTTTCTCTCGGGGGTCTCTGCAGGTTTGACGCTATCTGTAGTGAATACAGTGTGGCCAGCCCCTCCTTACTCAAGGGGGGTATATAGAATGTTCTTTCTAACTCTGCCTTTGCCCTCATAGCTGCTTGACACCATAGCTGGAAAGGAGCCGCTCAGGATGGTCTGCTTCTTGCCTTTGCTACCCACCAACCGAAGCAGTGTCATATTATTTGAAATTGTGTCAGTGTGTCCTTTTACAGAGTTTCAGTTCTACCCAGTGGGTTAGTGATTACCCCGATTACCCTCACATTCAGCTTGCAGCTGTCATCCATCTCATGTTCCCAGCTGTCATCTGTCTTGCCTAGCACTCTGGATCTGTTTTGCAGCAAGGCATTACTTGCTGGGAAGGGTGGATTGGCTACATTACAGGGCATCCTTTCTTGACCTTTAACATAAGTATGGCTTCAAGGTGAAGCCCATGAAAATGTTCCAGAAGCCAGATGTGACATTGCTGTTAGGGCCAAGCCTCACAACCAGATAGAAGCTATTTGAAGATTTCAAAAAATGAGACAGGAAGGGCCGTATCACTTGAGAGGCTGGCAGAGATAGCACAGTAATAATGTGTTTCTAAAGGAAGCAGGAAGTGTTAACAGGAGTTGCAGTGTAAAAGCCCCAGGTGTCATATGACACTGTTTTTTGAATTAAAATAATTGGGTACGTTTTAGTATGTGTTTTGGGGCAGGGAGAATGGCATCTATGACCATTGTAACCTGGGATATTTAAAAAAGGTTTTAGTAAAAAGTTAAAAATGTAATCTTGTAACTTGTAGCATAGGTGATTTTTCCCCCCTCAGTATTATCTCTTATCCTTTAAAAGGTGATCAAGTTTAATTTTATACTCTTACATTAACAATAGCTTAATTCTTAAGCAGGTGGATTCTAGAGTCAGACTCCTTGGCTTTAAATCTTGTGCCAATGATATTGGACCAATTAGTTCATCTTTGTGCAAGGGTACTTCAAAAAGTACATAGAAATGGAGTGAAAGTACAAGCGTATTCTGGTGCAAAAAATCTGAAATCCATGCATGCGGCTTTTCATAAAACGTATTTTTCATGAGCTTTTTGAAGACCTGTGTATGCTCTTTTCTTCATTTGTGAAATGAGTTAGTGTCTCACAAGGTTATTGTGGGGATACTTAGAGCCGTGCCTTGTATGTACTAGGTGCAATGTGAATTTTTTTTTTGAAGGAGTTTTTGCTATAGGGCACGTGCGCTCTCCAGACAGAGAGAGACAGAGACAAAAAGCGAGAAATCACCCCCGAGGGGGGATGGCCATGCTGCAATCCCTTCTCCTCCATTCTTCTCTCGGGATCTTGGGCACACATGCACACATGCCCAGTGTGAGCTTAAGCCACCGGGTCTGGGACTCAAACTGCGGTCAACTACATGGGAGTCCAGCGACATAGCCATTCCGCCAACTGCTGGTCCCAACTATGCGAATGTTTTTAAAGGATAGATTTCAGTTTTGCTTTTCTTCAAGAGTTCTGAACGTTCAGAATCATTCTTAGAAGTTAGTGATCCTCAAATTGGATGATTGCTTCCTTCTGTTTAATGGTTATTCATTCAAACAAGAAATCTCTAGGCACTGCATCAGTATGATGTGTAAATACTTAATAAAATAATAAGGAATGAAATGTACACACAGTCGGGGGAGAATAGAACAAAGACCTATGGGCTGCAGAGGAGTTCTTAGGTGGGGCTGGTGGAGGAAATCTTCATGGGCTTGTGAATTGGGCCTTGTAGTATGGCTAGGTTTGTATCGATAGAGTCAGGTGATTCGGAATATTAGCAAAGAACACTAAGCTAAAAAGAACTACAGAGTAAAAGGGAAGTGGGTCAGGTGGTCACAGTTAAGACAGGGTCTAATCAGTGATTATAGCTTAATGACAAAATACACTGTTAGTTCACATAGTTAGCTTTGTTCCTCTCCTGAAGCTTCAGAGTCCTCATCTATAATAGGAGGAAAATAGGCTGCTTGATTGATATATATATATATTGCTATAGTGCACGTGTGCTCACCAGAGAGAGATGGGAGAGACAGAATGTGAGAAATCCACCCCAACATGGGTGAGGAGAATGGCCACACTGCAATTCCTTCAACGGGTGTGGATTTTTGTTTTTTTTGGGCGGGGTTTCTTGTAAGATTTTGTTCCATGGCGCATGTGCGGGAGGGAAAGTGAGAAATCACCTCCCAGGAGCATAGCCACCCCTCAATCCTGTCTACATGTTCTTAAGATTTGGCACATGTGATTTTCAAGCCTCTGGTTTCAGGACTC